CCCAGCAGACTCTAAATGTCTTACTAATGTATTTACTCCAAACTAATATTTTAGTAGTTACTTTGTTAAAAGTAACTATGTAACTACAGTAGTTACCATTTACAAGTAACTACGTAACTATGATAGTTACTTTTACAAGTAACTACTTAACTATAGTAGTTACCATTTACAAGTAACTACGTAACTATTGTAGTTACTTTTATTAGTAACTAAGTAACTATTGTAGTTACGTAGTTACTAGTAAAGTAAAGGTAAAGTGCCACCCCTATATATAATACGAAGCTGAAGAAGACAAGAAAGTCAGATAGATACACCAACACAAGTAACATAAACTGGTAGAAAAGGTAGACAAATAACAACAACAGTGTATAAACGAAAACAAAACTACAACAAAAAAATAAAACGAACCAAGTAACATGAGTGTTTATTATCGATGAACTCGAAAACATTCTATGTAACTATTTTTCCCGAAAAGATTCGTTTGTAGACGTTTAGTAAACTTTTTTCTCGTTTTATATAATAGAGTTTCCCACACCCTATGTGTAATTCTATTATAGATATACAATCGAAGGACATTTGCTCGAAATAGATAGATATTAGAATAATATCGATAAATATTAGGGATGTAAAATAACTTTGGAAGATGATCAACTCGTTTAGTCGATTCAATTAAATGAGCCTTCCTACTCTTGTGCATCTTCGAATTCTTTTTCGGGTCTCCTACGGTAGTTTCACGAATATCATTTTGCACTTGATCAATCACAACGAAAGAATAATCAGTAGTAGTCATGAGTAGCTTTTCAACAACTGGTATCTCACCAATAGTGTTGGTAGCACCAAAAGCTACAGTAATACTTGACCATTTTCCATTCGTTTCTTTTTCGGAACTTAGATCATCGAAACTATCTAGACATCTTTCCATTACATTGTCAGTCAATGTAGTTGGAATTAAAAATTCCTCCTTTGATATATTATCTGTAACGATAGGTAGAACTTCTGTTCCAATGGAAATTAACAATTGGTTTCAAATTCAGACGACAAGGACTCGCAAAAGTAGTCAATAGATTTTATTTGACAATAGTCATGTTCATCAGAGCACTCAACTTTTCTATTAGATGGATAGTCGAACTGATTGGCGAGTAAATTTAGAAAAAATTGTGCTTCAGATGAAGTAGAAAATTATAGGTCGTATAATGACAACAGAAATACATAGAAATCGTCAAAAGTTCGAATATACTCTCGAACTCGATAGTATTTTAATTCTATGTCGCCTTCAACCAACATAGGAATTGCTCTAAAACGAATACTTCGCACCATACGAAACTCGTGGAATTTACTTTCAGTTTCATCTAGCCATTCAGACACATTTTCTTTGCCAGAAAAACGAACAAAGTTTTTCGATATGAAAATGTCAAAATTATGTTTAGTGTCCATTTCAATAAAATATTACGTGTTGTTGTAGTATAGTGTGGTTTACCAGATATAATTTTAATAGTTGTAATAAGTCAATGCAAATTAATTTTGCAGAAAAGACCAGAAGACATGAATAATGGGTCAGAAGAAATAATAATAATATATGAAAAGAATAGGACAGACAAATTGCCCCACTTCTCCACCAACTGCTAGGGTCTCTTTTAGGGATGCTTTTAATTAATCTTTATTTTATTTTTACGCTCAGTTAATGATGCGTTTTCTTTAGATTAATCGATCTTCTGTCGAGAGCTCACGCTAACAGTTATTTTACCTTGTTTAAGTAAAAGAATAATCAATGGTTCTTAATAAGATCAATTGATGAAATCAGTAGATTGAAGGGAATAGTACATTTATGTAAATAATGATAACAGTGAAGAAAAAACAATAAATCAGACAAACAAACATAACGATATATCCTTATATATTCGAACGAGAAAAACTAAACAACGCAATAACGAAAAAGCATAGCTAAACCAAAAAGATCACATGATCTCAATCATGAGAAGGATTATCCGTATCAAATAGAAAAAAGTAAAGAAAACGTATTTCAATCATATGGATAAGTTAACGTGATGAAGTGACATCTAGTGACACTAACAGATGGCGAATGGAAAAAATTTAGTTAACTTTAAAAAAGAACGCCCGAGCAGGGGCTCGAACCCTGGACATTGTGGTTAAAAGCCACACGCTCTACCGACTGAGCTACCCGGGCATGCTTTTCTTTTTGATCTTTACTGCTTCTGAACTACTTATCCCCCCTTCCTCACAGTAAAAGACCCCTGATTTTTTATTATGTTCCAGAAGAGTCCTGTATTAAGAACCACATTTTTTCCTAATATTTAATTTACAAGGTTTTCCAGAAAACTAAGGCAATTTTAATTATTTTCATCAGGGTTTTTTTCGATGTTTTAAAGGTGCTGTTATAATTGCGAACACATTCTCTTAATATTTCCAGTTGAAAATGGTAAGAATGAGGCATAGTTTGATGGGAAAACGCTAATTAAAGTTTGCAGTTAGTAAAAATATAATTAATTAAAGGGGTCTTCTATTGTATCGGAGAAAATTTTACTTCAGGGGACCTTCTATAAAGGGGGGGATAAGTAGTTCAGAAGCAGTAAAGATCAAAAAGAAAAGCATGCCCGGGTAGCTCAGTCGGTAGAGCGTGTGGCTTTTAACCACAATNCCCCCCCCCCCCCCCCCCCCCCCCCCCCCCCCCCCCCCCCCCCCCCCCCCCCCCCCCCCCCCCCCCCCCACATCACAGTTACGATAGACGAGCATTACTTTTCTTTTTAATCGTTCATGCAGAATAGCATGCATCGTGAAAAAATCACATAGATGTATCAAAAGTGCATGTGTTGATGTGTAGTCAGCGATATGCGAAATGGGTGTAGGCTTCTTATGTATTTTTCGTGAATGCAAACAAATATTTCATCGATCTTTAGGTGCGACGTTTTTTTTATTATAAATGTAGACTAATTTATATTCATAACAATTGATAAATATAGGTGATGTTTTCATTTAAGATGTTATATTAAATGACTATTTCATTTTCCAAAACGAAAAATTCAAAAACGTTTTCTTGGCATGATACCGTGTCAATAAATAATTATTTTACTGTAAGATATTAGAATCAGCATTCTTAGTTATTATGAACAAAAATTTCGCATGTAATACTATAAAATAACTGTTAGCACAATCCTTGCAGGATTAAAATGTGAAACACGATGAAACTCTTTTTCTGGAATCTGTCTACTACGGTCAGTGATGCTCTGTGGAGCGTCTCTGTTACGGTCTGTATTATAATGTATGGAGTATCTAGAGACCATCACAGACCGTTACAAAGAACTTAATTAATTAATTAATTTCTCTGTAACAGTCTGTGGGGTGGGGAGGGGTGATGTTTAGTTAATTCGGCAATGTTAGTTTCATATAATTATTAAGATTAAACATGAATAAAGATTCTTTTAATAGTTGATATTTTTAATAGAATCAAATAATGTATTATATATATATATATATCTTTAAGCTCTTGTAATAGTTTGCGCACTCTCATAGAGAGAACAAAATGTATCAACTAACTAGACGCGCCAAACATAACATAATTCAATTTCAAAACGCGACCAAGAAAACAGCGATGAAGACGATAGAGAGAAAAAGAACATATAGCGAGAAACTCGCGCGAAATCAGAAACAAGACACGTGACGACACCGTGTGTCGTCACAGGGGGGTCCAAATTTCTACCCTATATACTTCAACACTCCTTTTAGATGGTGTTTCACAAAATTTAACCCAGATATAAAAAATAATGGGAAACGGCTATGGTGCATATTTCATTTCTATTCAACTTATGATAATTTTTTATCAAATAATCTTCAAAAATTAACGGGAAAGAATCAAAGAAATTATTCCTATTTATTAGCTATCTTCCTTTCGTTCGGGGAAGTCCATTCTTTATATTAATCCTTACGTATTTCATAGAGTAACTATAATAAAATACCTATTGATGATTCATCATCAGACTCCAGCGTGCTTTCTAATGTCATAGATGAAACACACAGTTAAATATTTCCCCATCATTATATAATTGTTATACGGCTCTACATACGTTTTATTCAATATAACATTTGTTTTCGTAATCAACGGAACGGACACCTGCACCCATCCTATGAATGCGATAGGGAGCATATAGCTGTACGTATTTCTATTCAAATCGATGAAATATGTGAATCCAGCTTTTTCACTCGTACAATCCTTACTGGGGTTATTGTGTAGATTACAAGTCTTTCAAAAAAGTCACTTTTCGCGATCACTAAAACAAGGTCATAATACTTAAAAGTCGTGAACTCATTGATACCCTTTACAAATCAGACTACCATTTTGTTAGTCACCCGTATAGAAACTCTTCTTGACGTTCATTCTGCGCTCTTACTTAGTGTGCCGATATTGATGGCACGCTCAGATGATTCTCCTTCCTTCTCTTTCTGTTCTCTCATCATTGTTCTATTCTATATCTCTATTGTTCACTCTCCTATATAAGCGTGTGTTCAATGAAAAGTAGGACACGGCTAGGGGTGGCACTTTATCTTTATTTTCCTCTGAAAAAGTAAAGTAAAGTAAAGTGAAACATCTTTATCTTTCTGGAGAAGTAAGATGAAGTAAAAATGAGATAATGGAAAGCATAAACCTGTTTATTATTGACTGATTTTTTCATTATGACACATTAAAGAGCTTCCAATATGTCAATATTTGTTTTAAATTACGGATTTAGTGTCCTAAAAACTCTGACCATAATTACATTAGTTTTAGAATTGATGAGCCCCGATTATTTTTCAAAAGTTTATTTTATCCTTGATCACTACTCAATTTCCCACACCAAGATCCTCTTCATCTGTCTAGAATCTTTTTTGATCGTCATTTTGATATTAATCCTTTTAGTTCGATAGTACTAAATACCTCGAATACGAATATCAATTTATTTTCAAAGTACAGTTCAGCCGAAACGCAGGTAACGCACNCGATCTGGAAAAATTCGATGTAGCCATAAAGAAAGTCGGAACATTTTTCTACAAAATGCTACATGACACTTCATGTTTACTCTTTTCTTTCCGTGTCTCTCATTTACATTTTGAGAAGCACATACAAATCAAGCCTAGACCCTGGTGACCAGTAATCAGTTTCAGTCATATTTTCCAGCCTTACTTATGCTGTCGAACCAATCAAAATAGAGTTTCTTATGCAGAAAGTTGTGTTTTACAAGATGGTATAGTTTGTTTTGAAAACAAAATAACTTCTACTTCAATCATGTTGGTTGACCGTTAGCCGTTTTGGCTGAGTTAGATAATAAGAAACATATCAAGCACCCCAGGAAGTCTTACAAAACCTGTTTTGACCTGACAGTTCGTTAAAGCGTGAATAAGTTTTGTCAAGCATAGGGTCGCATGATGCAAAAGTCTTTTATCGGTGAGAATAAATCGGAAGCTAGCAAATATTCAATGTGTTTTCATAGATGATAGTCAAACACTTAGGGATTTGCAAGATGATGGCAATTGCTTTTCGTCAAGACTTATACGACGCATTTTAGTTGATTAAGAATTATTCTAGTACGTGGTAACAATAATTAAAGATTATTCATACAGATTTAAAATCCACAAGGCAGTATAAGAAGAGCAAACAAGCAACCGTGATTAGGGCAAAAATACTGCTCCATACATCCGTAGATTAAATGCAAGAATGCAAGGGAATGCTAGCACTATTTGTAGCTCGAACTCGTTCCTGCGGATTTTACATAAATATTAGAAGGGTAGCACATATAAGGGAAAAGCAACAACTTGATTTTAGTAAGGAAACAGGATATATAAAATAGCGACTAAAGTCAATACGAAACAATAAAATTGAGACCCAGACTAATGGAAAAATGTAATCGGGCTCTGGAGTAAAACAATAATTGT